CTGCCTTTCACTGTTATAACCCTTTGAGTGTAGTGAAGAGTCTGATTTATCAGGTATATTCCTTGGTAAGTGTACTTTGTATTTCAAATTGCTAGAGTAAGATGATCTGAAGAGTAGAGAGGGTTGGGTCAACTGAGATTCTACAGTTGTGCATTGAATTAGGCTCTTCAGGTAGATTTTATAATAATGTGACAGTTAATAGAGTAGATTAGACAGAGGAAATGACACCTAGGATTCTCCAAAGGCCATCAGTTGCAGCGCAGAGCCCTCACCTCAGACTTTCCATCTGCATTCCTTTCCCAAGTCATTTTCACCCTCACTGATGTTTCCTCCACCTCTTCTTTCAAGTATAGAGTATATATCCGAGTTGTTCTCCAGTTTTTCTTTTTGCTAGCAGAATACCCTTCTTGGTTTCCTTAACATTGCTGCTAAGCAACCAAGTCAGAATGGTGATGGTCTTTCTTTTCTGTCTGCCCCTTCCTGAGCCACCCAGTAGGAGATGTCTCTAAAGGGACCAAGATCATTTTGAGAGTAACTCAAAGGTCCTGAGACTGTTGCCTCCTAAAGGATTTTCCCTATGATAGGGCCTAGCCTGACCCTGACCCTGACCCAACCCCTTGTCTACTAAGTTTCATTTCTTTCCCCCCCCTTCTTAGAAAATATTCTTTTAAAAATGCTTCTGAATTATTTTTATGTATATAAATAAAAATAATATATATGTACTGGAGGCCTGGTACATGAAATTCATGCACTGGGGGGGTATACCTTAGCCTGGCCTGCACCCTCTCCAATCTAGGATCCCTCTCACAATCCAGGACTGGTCGCCTGCCAGACAGCCTGATCACTCCCTAACCACTCCCCTGCCAGCCTGATCGATGCCTAATTGCTCCTCTGCTGGCCCAATGGCCCCCAACTGCCCTCCCTGCCATCCTGCTCACCCCCAATTGCCTTCCCCTGTAGGCCTGGTCCCCCACAACTGCCCTATCCTGTCAGCATCTTGTGGTGGCAATCTTGTGTCTACAGGGGGGTGGCCATCTTGTGTGAGGGTCAATTTGTATTACCTCTTTATTATATAAGATACTCTTCACAAAAATTTCACACATTATAGATCTACGGTAAAATTTCTCTGGAATCTGTGCCTGGCCTCTGTCCACTGCTCAGGAGAGATAATACCTGTCCTATCCTGTGTTTTCTCTCTTTCTCACACACACACATACCTGTAAAAAATATAGTAAACTCTGAATTTTGCAGACCTTGATTTAATGGACTTCAAATTTAATGGACAAAATTTCGAGTCTATATATCATATGTGAAAATTAACACCATGTTTATTTTAAAATGCTTTTAATCAATGTTTGCTTTTAATTAACAGGTTATTTTGTTGTTGTTGTTATTCACTGTTATTTTTAGCAAATTTTAGTGAGTAGGCCATATGTTGGAAAAAACGCTGTGGTAATTTCGCTGACGTAAATAAATATTACATAAATATTTATGTAAATAAAAACCTACTTTATTAACACATGATCACACTGCATCTTGAGAGGTAAATTGGTTTATGTTGTTATGTGGCATGACTTTCTGCAGCATTTTTAATGTGTGCCCATCGATGTTTCCACATGCTCTAAGCCTAGCCCCAGCCGTGTGCATTTGTTTACTCATGGTAACTGGTGAATGCATGCATTTACTAGACCTATTCAGTATAAACTTAAAATTACAGTAATACAGGATAAGAAACTTTTCTGTGAAGTTAAACTTTCCAAACATACTTAATTTTTATTACACAAACATGTCTACATAAGTAAAAACATGTAAACTAACTAATTTGTCAATTTTTAAACATAGGTTTTTGGAAAACCTACTTTATTATATAATGGACTTCAGCCTTAATAGACATGCCCTTGCCTAAAATAGTCTGTTATATGGAGGTTTTACTATATTGTGTTTCTGTCTGTTTTCAGCATAAAGTTTATCATACTCTATAAGTATTGCATTATACTTTTCATCAGATCTTTCTTAGTCAGAACAGAGCTACCTCATTCTTTTTCATCAGATCTTTCTTAGTCAGAACAGAGCTACCTCATTCTTTTCATTTCCAAGTTAGCTAATTTCTGCATGACAAGTGAGTGAGCACCTACCACATTCCCTAAACCTTCTTAAAAACTGAATGCAAAGATTGTGTGTAGGACAGTCTGTGTTTGTGAGAAGCCAGCAGGCTCTAGTGGGGAGGGAAAATGTTGAGAAAAGACTTTTGGCATCTCTGTTATAGCTGTTCACCCGTGGACTGATTCTGTTCTTACTTGGCATTGTTTGTGTTAGTAAGGATAAACAATCTTCATTCTCTCTTGTCTAAGGCATAATGTGAGGCATTAACAGTAAGAGGGAACTTTTTTTTTTTTTTTTTGACCTGGAAATGGCACCTTCCTGTCACCCCCATGGACTACTCTTATAAAGTAGTTACCGTTTCCTTTCCCAGAATTGAAGCCCTAGCCATTCATGCTCAGGTAGAACTACTTTGCTTAAAATACCTTTTGCTGCCACATTCTGCAAAGACTCAGAAGGTCACTGGAACCACTGGGTCTGTTCCCCAGCTTCCCAGGGAGTTCTCCCCTCAGTCCTCTGAGCTGCTTTTGGAATAGCATGGTACATACTTTTTAGGGAATTCTTGACACAATAAGAAAAGTTGGCAATCCTCTCCCTCACACATATTTAAAAAATAATAATAATAAATTACCTTTGAAAACTCAGGGTACCTCTTTGCTATTATTACTATGACAGGTTTTATTTGGTTTATTCATATACATATAATAAGTTTGATCTTATTTTAAGAGTCTGTTTGGGCATAGAATTTAAATTAATGTCTTGCTGTATTTTGAATGGATAGAGATGCTCCTTTTAAAGGAGCTTTAAAGACTTGTTGCCACAACAAGATGAGTATAATACTGAGCTTGAGAAAGATGATTTTCTCAACAGAAATAATTTATTATTGCTAGAGGTGATGTGAAACTATTAAATTTTTTTTCTGAAGCATGTTTTCTTTAATTTTTTCCAGAGGTACATTACTTGAAATTAATGACACTCTCCTTTTTAAGACTTTATTTCATTTTTTGTATTCTATTGGTCCCTGAGAGAATGTCCAGTCTAGAGAGGAGAACACATAAAACAGTGCTAAAAGCCCTACAAATGTGCCTACTATATAGAGTTTACTTGCCACCTTCTGTTTCCCCAGTGCTACATGAGTACTATCCTCCCTGATGTTGCATTTTATATTTAGATCATTTTTGGTTCATTTATAGAAGCTTGCCTATTAAAATTCAATATATAATTCATTTGGGTTTTGAACAATACTATGGCTAATCTAAGCATACTGAAATGAAATTTGCATTTACAGTAATACATTTCCGAATTCAAAGAAGATACTGTTATTCTATCATCACTGTATGTGGTTTTATTTAACTTCCTAATAGTAGTGGAGATATATTTGGGACAACTGTCTTGTCAGGTTCTTCTAGTAATCTCAGAAGGAAATACATATGTATATTTAACTGGCAGAAGTTAGTGGTCAGACTGTGTTCATAAAGCAGGAGAAAAAGGCACTCCTTACCCCCACTCATTTAGACCATACTCCTAATAGCTTTATGATCATGGTAAGGAACTGAAGTTAGCGCTCACTGAGATTATTGACTTGGAAGAGCAGCATCTACCAAAAAAGAACTTTAGTGGGCATTCTGAAAATCCTTAGCCCATTTAGGATTTTCTCCACATTATTTATGCTTTATAATTTCCAGTTTATTTTCACATAAATCTATAATTCCTAGATCAGCTGCATTTTATTCTTTCCCACAAATCTCACAGATTCAAATTTTTTTTTTGTTCACTATTCCCTGTCACCTTCTGTAAGCTCTGGAGATTCTTCTTGGCTCCTAGAAAAAGTCTTTCTTATCCCTTCTCCTCCTCCCCATTTTTTCTTACACAGCCTTCTTTGTCTAATGAGTGCTGGCTGTCAGCAGAGTGGCAGATTGTGTGAGGAGTAGGGAGAAGCAGATAACAACTGCAGGCAAGTAAGTGCCTTGGAATCTCAAAAAAACTTCAGCTGTATGAAATAAGATAGGGTCAGTCTTTCTTTTGATCGCTTTCCTTCTTTGAAGATCCTGTAATATCTTACACACACTTAGTTCTGTATTAAGAGTGTTGTGTTTCTTCCTAACTCCTCCCTGCATCTCTGAAATAGACCCAAGGCTTCACTGAGGACCTAACAAGCAGTTAGGGCAGCATGATAAAAAATAATAAACACTTTAGGCTTAATAAAAAGAAAGTCTGACACATCTGGGACTTCTTCAAGCTGTCCTCTGCTTTGTATAACGAAGTGCACAATGAATCACTCAAAAACAAGGGGTCCTAAGATACCAAACTCAATTAAAATTGCTTTAACTTCTGGGGAGTTCTCCAGATTATACCCTAAAGTAGTAATATGGAAATATCAGTTTTAGCTATAAATCATGTCTCTTTTCCTTGATATGATCATGGGCACTAATACACTGTCTCTTGAACCAACAGAGTATAAATTTCAGAGCTCATAATTTTCAGTATGTGAAGAGAGAATGGTAAAGAAGTATGCTCCAATGACTCTATTGGGGAACAGTGGTACAGACAAAAGGTGGACTGCCCTGGAATGGAGCTGACCTTTTCTTATTTAATGTCCTCTTTTCCCTCTAGAACTCATTGGAGAACAATTTGTATGTTATATTTCATCTGCATTTATCTCTACTAACCTCATCATCTTTCTGTTAAGTTGTGTATGCCCCTGAATGAATGTTATCTACCAGGCTATAATTTTAAAAAAGAAAAGGTGAATTGTGACACTGTTTAGCATATAAGAGCTGGTAAAGATAGGATATAAAAAACAGGAAAATATATGCAACTTTGGAAGCAGTTCTGGAGAGTATTTTTAAAAATAGTGGGCAATAAATTTCTTTCTATTGTGTATATTCTTTTAAATTTAGGGATAGAAGGACAGTCTGTGGAAGTTTCCAATATTGTGGACATCCGAAAAGAATATAACCGTGAGATTGCAATGAGAATTTCTTCTAACATAAACAGCCAAAATAGATTTTATACAGACCTAAATGGATACCAGGTAATTTTGCTTTAAAATGTCTATGTAATGGTTATGTGCGTGCGTAACTTATATATATGGTAATGACCAGTTAATTTTGTATCCTTTCAAAAATAGGCTTAAGGTCACAAATTATTTTTGAAATAAAACATTTTTAACAGATACTTGTAGGTTCTTTATAAACTAGATTTCCAAAATTTCAACAACTAACTAACTGATAAAGAGTATTTTATAAATAATCTATTTGTAAGAATTTATTTTTTTCAAAGGAAGATTTGGTAACAATTATGCATGTTCAATAACATGGTGCCAAAGTATATATGAATTTATCTAATATAAAGGAAACATCAGTAGGAATTGATGGATTACATTTTTTTTCTCATAAGAAATTGGCCTATTCATATTTAGGTTATTCTATATATATTTTTTAAATGTATAACCTAATAAAAAAAAGAAAGTTTTCTTTCAGGAAGACTTGTCCCTTTCTCTTTATTGGAGAGGAGGGTGTGTATCTAATACACGTAAGTATGTGCACACAGACATATGAATACAAACATATCTACTTAGAAATGTGAGTATATATGTATTTAATCAGAATTTTTTTGAAACAGTAATGTGAAAATTGATTCATAACATTTTTCAGATTGTCAGTTCTCTAATTTAATAAAACTCTTTTGATAATTACCTGAATCTCTGTACTAAGAGTTAATGGGTATGACATATATCTTTGAAATAATACTATTAAAAACATTAGCATGTTTTTGAGATATTAACATTTTAGAAATTTCTGACTATGAATAGAAATAATTCCACAACAAATGCTTTTATTTTGTCTGATTTTCAATTCAAATGAGTGGACAGAATTGTGATAATTTTCTCTTTTACGATTTCCTGCAAAAGTTAAATTTAAACCTTTTCCAAAGCATAAAAATTGCAACATATATTTTGAAATAGCATGTTAATTTTACTACAGCTGTTTGGTTTTCAAATGAAGCCCCTACTTTATGGTGATTCATTTTCTTTGTATACAAAAGAAAGGCTTTTCTTAAAATCTTCAGAAGCAATTATTTGTATGTGTGGGTATATACATGAATGAAAAAAACTTAGTAAAAATGGATAAAATTTTTCTTTTTAAAGATTGAGCATTTGAATAAATAGGAACATACCATTTTTAAGTCTATAACCTCAATATTTCTGCTTTTAAAATAAGCTCTTTTTTAACCTTTGGAAAGACTGATACTTGGGCAAGACTAGAAATTTAGATCTACAGCTGGGGAGTGAAGGTAACAGAGACACAGTTGTGAGTTTTAAATGTCCTTTTTATTAAAAGTATATGTTAGCCTAGCCAGTGTGACTCAGTGATTGTGCATCTATCTATGAACCAGGAGGTCATGATTTGATTCCCAGTTGGGACACATGTTGCCTGGTTGTGGGCTCAGTCCCCAGTGGAGGGGTGCAGGAGGTAGCAGATCAGTGATTCTCTCTTGTCATTGATGTTTCTATATCACTCTCCCTCTCCTTTACTCTCTGAAATCAATGAAAGTATATATTTTTAAAAAAGTATATGAGTTATTTGGAATGGAAGATCAAGATTGAGAAGGAGAAATGAGAATTCTTTTGAGGTAGCTTTTTATTTTACCTTTTTATAGTTGTTTCTTATTAGTGTACGAATTTCTTGAGACTGTGATAAATATTATCCCAAGCTGGATGGCTTAAAACAATAGAAATTATTCCCTCACAGTTTGGGACACTAGTGATAAATCAAGGTGTCAGCAGGGCCACCTCCCTCCAGATGCTCTAGGGAAATAGCCTTCCTTGCTTCTTCTAGCTTCTGGTAAGTTCAGGCCACCTTTGGTACACTTTGCCTTGTAAACACATCACTTCAATCTGTTTCTTCACTGTCACATGCTGTCTCCTTGTGTTTCTATACGTGTCCTTCTGTGTCCTGATTTTCCTCTATTTATATCGATAAAAATACCAATCAATGGATTAGAATCTACCCTAATCCAGTGCAACTTGATTATATCAACAGGGAACCTATTTCAAAATAAAATCACATTCATAGGTTCTGGGTGAACATGAATTTGTGAAAGCACTGTTCAATACAACCAGTAAACTGAAAGATACATTGCAGAGTTGTGGAGATTAAAGGTTTTATTTGTGAAATTCCCAGCACTGTGCCTGATATTAATGGGTTCTCAATATATGTTCACTATTATATTAACGTCTCTGCTTTCATGTCCAATTTTTATGAGTTTAAAAAAAGAGATGACATTTTATGTGGTGTGAATAAGTTTCCTGATAAGAGTCTCTGTTTGATGTCTGTTTGAGTCTCCTTGCCCCAGACTGGCTTAGTGCACTGTCAGTCTCTCTCTCTCAGAAACTAAAGTTGGGGTTGTATTTCACTCATTCAGATATTAGACCAAGAAAAATTAGAATTTGGAACTATCTACATTGAAACTAAACAAGAAGAGTATGCATTGAAGAGTTTATAACCATAAATATGCATTTTACTATTATAATGTAATAAGTTAGAGGATTTGATGAGGTGGTCTGGGATACTTATTAAAACTGATTTTAGAAGAATTACAATATATTTCTTGAAAGGGGATAAAGAGCTATTATGCTTAGCATTCATTACAAAAGCAGTATGTTAGATTTAGATAAAAAATGAATACTTAATACCCTTATAATTTGTATGCAAATATTGGAGAGCTAGAAGACTTTTGTTAAGGATATTTATCCTGAATTTAAATAGGAATGCCTATTTTAAAAATCTGGACAAGTTCTAAGTCTCTTAAAAATTGTTTTCTGAAATCCTTGTGATTTTTTTTTTATATTGTTTTGAAGAATGTTTCAAGTTTTAAATTAGCTCTAACCTTGAACAAGAAAGGAAGCTGTTCCTTTTTCTCTTTGGAAGAAAAGTCATCTTGCAAAGTCAATGCTAATTTTTAAAAGTTCCTATGTAAATATCACTCAATTAAAAAAAAAAAGATAATTGTATGGTCTTATAGATTCAACCTAGAATGACAATGAACAAGTTGCCTCTTCAAGCAAATGTGTATCCGATGACCACAATGGCTTATATCCAAGACACCCAGCACCGCTTGACCCTGCTCTCTGCTCAGTCTTTAGGTGTAGCAAGTTTGGAAAATGGTATGTATTGTTTAGATTCTTTTTGCTCTTGTAAGTTTCAGTTCCAAGTGTATGTATGACTTTTTGCCAATCACATGTATTATCATCTCCACTTGCCAGGTTTCTTTGGAGAATTAGATCTCCACTTGCCAGGTTTTTTTGGAGAATTAGACTATTAGTTCATTTTGGGTTTTGTGAGAATAACATAAAATGATGGATTTCCTCAATCTTAGGTGAAGAACAAGGACCTAACCTTCTGTGAAACTCTTTTTCAAGATAATTTACCTCACTTGATAGCCATTGTTTGCAGAATGGGTGTTGTGATTAAATGGATGCAGAAACTCCAACTGTAGATAACTTAGTCCTCCTCTGAATCACATTCTTCTGCACAACCACCCCAAACAAGGAAGGGAGTAGAGATGATACAGATAGGGGGATATAGAGGTAACAGACATGACTTTAATGATTCCAAAGGAGAGAATGAGATGGAGAAAGAAAACAGTAGTAGATACTAATTTTTGAAAAGTTTCTATTGAGACGCTCTTGTCTTTTATGATACACTTTTTAATTATCATTTATAGATCATCAGTTGCTCTTCCTTCATTACATGCAAAGAGTTGCTAAGTCTTAAAGAGCTAGGCAAATAAATGCGTTCAGATGACCCGGGGTATTCTTTGACACTTTTTATATTAGGCATATGCATACATTCTGTACTTTCACATACACACAAAAAATACTACTTCTCATTTTTCTTGTTGCCTGTACTTGACAAAATCGTATGATCATCCCATAAAGATGACATGAAATTATAAAAATAATAAATGCCTCACGTCAGGGATTCGGTCTGGATGGTGACATGAGCAACCTGGAGCAACCCCATGTGCAGTCAGGCAGCCACTGCGTAGTGCTAGTACATTGTCTCCATGGGGAAAGGGACCCAGTGTTGCCAAATGCTTCAGTTTTTAAAGAGCCCAGAAATCTGGAATTTTATGTGAAGACTAGAGGCCTGGTACATGGGTAGGGTGCCTAGGCCTGGCCATTGATCAGGGCCGATCAGGTTTCCCTCCTCCTCTTTTCTTCACCACCTACCTCCCCACCTCCTCCTTCCCTTGCTCCCTCAGTGCCCTGCTGCCACTGCTGGTTGGCTGTCATGTTTCGCGCCATCCCCTATTGATCAGCACACATCATAGTGAGCAATCGAACTCCTGATCTCCCAAACTCCTGAGGAAAAACTTGGCACATTAGCCTTTTATACATGTAGCTGCCCAATCTATAAATGTTGACTTAATTTTTTCCAGTATCAGAACATAAGACATCTTTGTACCAAATGTGACTCTTGACCCACCCATTTTTAAACCTGCCTCAAATTCTCAAAGGTGGGCTCTAAACAGGATCCAGTCATTAGGACTCAAGCAATCATGAGCCATGAGTCTTCTCTCACTTCCCTCCTTTGCACCTGCCATAGATACCCTAAGGCTTGAATAGTAACAGACATGAAAACTATTTAGTGTCACTTATTATATGGACTAACATTTCCTGGCAGAGAGAAGAGTTAGTAATTGCCAAGAGATTGATGTACTAATTTGTGTGTGAAATGATCAAACTATAATTGTAAGATTATTAAAATATTTTATGTATATTCAGCTCTGTTATGCTAAATAATCATTTAATAAGTAACAAATGTGAATGAATGGATGAATAAACTTTAGGATTTTTCTTTTTTTAATATAATCTCAGATATATAATATGAGTGGGTTTCTTTCTTTGTCTTTAATTTTTATACTCATAACGTAATCATTAGCTTACAATTTAAATTAGAAGAGATATGAAATTATTTCACAGCAAATGAAGGAACCACTGTGACCCCTCTTGGAGTTAGAGGAGATAGGACAGTGGTGAAGTGGCTAACATAATCTCAGAGGGAAGAGAGTTCATGGTAGGAGTTACCAAATCCCAGGGCTTCTTCGGGGATCAACACATATCAAGTAACCTAAATATTTCAAGTCCTAGTTAGATCCTCTCCATCTGTATTTGTTTTGTTACTCCCTGTGTACTATGCATTTCAAAATGAGCCCCATAAACATTTTTAAATTCTAGATGGTGTCACCAAAAATTTTGAAGGCTTAATTTACTCTTTAATTTTTGAATTTTAGATTAATACTTAAAGTTTTGATTTTTCTCTGCTTTTAAATTTCTTATCAGATTTTACTAGCCATCAATGAATAAAAGTAGAAATATAATCATGTTTTTATACTGGCTACCTTAAGCCATTATTGAGAAAAAGTTGTATAAATTTATCTCCTTGACTAAAGGAGAAACTTGAATCAAGACTGTGCCTGAACTTCATTGTTCCTCATTGTATGTTTGTTTTAAATAACCCTGGTCAATTTTTTTGTTTGTTTTTTTTGTAGGTCAGATTGAAGTTATCATGGATCGGAGACTCATGCAAGATGATAATCGTGGGCTTGAGCAAGGTGTCCATGACAACAAGATTACAGCTAATTTATTTCGAATACTACTAGAAAAAAGAACCGTTGTGAATATGGTAGGGGGAAAAAATAACATATTATTCACAATTTGAAATTGTGACTTTCTCCTTTTTTATTTTTTACAATTTTCAATATAGTGACATGTTTAAAATAGATTTAGCCTATATTCACAAGAAAGAGAATTTCAGTTTTATACACATACACACATATAATGTAAGATTTGCATTTACATCATATGAATTTTTTTCTTATTATGTAGATATAAAGTAAGGTTAAGAAATCAGTTTGGGTGAAATTTCCTGAAATTATTTTGAGTGTGTGTTAAAGAATAGAACTTAGTAACATATTTAGGAGATTAAATTTGATTAGTAAAATGGATTTGAAACCTAGTGTACTTATTTTAGTCTTAAACTTATCAATTGAAAAATGAATTTACTTTTCTGTCTTCTTATTCAGTTTTCATTCTTTGAAGTCCAAGTCCAACATTCCATGTCTGGCCATAGATCAGTTGGACATAAACCAAACTGACAGTATGCTTCTTCAAATGCCAATAAAGTATCTCAGAGTCTTTCATAAATTACTAATTAATAGCTCAAGTGACCCTTGAGATGGTCTTTTTACTCCTCTTTCTCTCTTTTCTGCACTCACAAGTTAAAATCATTTCTACTGTTTCAGCCATGTATACTTTATAAAGAGCCATTCAACAATGCTTGTTATTCTAGATACCAAGCATCAACTCCCACCCTTTCTTTCTTTCCTCATGTTACAGTAGAAACATTTACCTTCCTTTCTTCTTAAGCCAGTGCCTCTGTTTGTCCTTGGAACTTGGTTTAATCTCCCTCCTGGAGATCCTGTTATTAGGTATTCTCCCTCCTTACCTTCCTTTGCCCCTCAAAAGAAATCCTTTTTGTTTGCTTTTAAACACTTTATTTTTTCCCATTAAAACTTAAAACAGAAAACAGCTCTCACTCAGATTCTCATTTCCAAATCTCATTTCCTATCTCCCCTACCATCTTGAGTCAAGAGTTTATAAGATAGGATTATTTTATCACTTTCTTCTCACAATTTATTTGAATCTTGCATTAGCCTCCATCATACACTCTTGCCTTTGTTACTAGATATAGCAGAGTGTATCTAGATGATGCACTAAATCAATGGTTGGCAAACCGCGACTCACAAGCCACATGTGGCTCTTTCCATGCACCCTACCCCCACAGCATCTTGTATGTGTTTCATCCTCTTTGCCCAGGGGATTCTTAGTTCTATTTCAGATCAGAGGTCATCTTCTGCTTGAGCAGGTCCAATCCCCTTCTGTGCTCCCTCAGATCTGGGCATGACTCCTTCATGTGTGTATGTCATTGTTGGATTGTTGTCTTTCTTTACTTTTGGACATTACACTCCCTAAAAGTAGAGGCTATGTCTCCCTCTGCTTCTAGGCTGTTCCTAGCAGAGGAAACACCCAGTATATGTTATATGAATGAGTGAGCTATGACAGTACACTGTGCCACTGTGTTTATCGCAGTTACTGCTTACTTCCTGTCACTGTATGCATGTTCTCCTCCCCCTACTAGATTGCAGGAGCTTCATTTTCACGTGCCCCCTAGGGCCTTTGCCTTAGGAAAGCATTCTATCAGTAAAATCCTAGTCCACTGAATGAAATATCAACATCTAATTAAAGCAAAGAATTCTTCCAATACCTAGAATTTTTCAGGAAAAATACTTTAATATCCATTTTAGTTTCAAGATTAATACCAGTTCTTGGGTCTCAAGGTTTAAATCAATTACTGACAATAGCTTAGTTTTAAGACTAAAACTGCATAGGAAATATGTTGGAGTACTGGCAGCTATTATCTTTTCCTCCTGAAAATGTTTCTGGCTTTTATGATTTTTCTTTTTATATAGACACTAATTTGCAAAACTGTTAACTATGGCAATAAGAATTTTCATGTCAGACCTATAAAGCTTTCACTTAGAAGTTAAATAATTTGTTTATTCTCATTCAGAACTCCTAAGAGACTAATTGATTTAAATTTGATCCAATGTTTTTGTAATCCTATGTTGGTTAAATTTTTCTTTTGCTCAGCTATAAGTTCTCAGGCTTAAATCAATAGATTCTTTTAAATAAAAAATGAACTAGAGAAAAGAAAATACATTTTAATTTCTAGTGAGATTGATTAAAAAGACATTTGATTAAAAAAAAGGTTACATATACATAAATTTTCTAAAAAGTGTTATTATTTTCTCAGTTCTTAATTCTAAAAAGTTGATGGTAAAAACTGAGGTAGGGAGACAGTCTGAGCAGGAAGGCATTTTAATGGGAAGTCTGACCCTGTCGGAGCCTCACTGGAATAATTCCACAGAAAGGTGGTGAGAATAAGGACTGGAACAGTCCTCTCTGCAGAACCCTGGCCAACAGGACTCACTTCTATTTAGTCATCCAGGGTTACTCCAATGGTATGATGCTTAATGGTTGCACAAGTGAAATATGGCAATTGTCTCTTTGGCACTGACCAGGTCTGATTTGATTATTTGACCCTTACTCCCACCATGGTCCTGCTGGCAACTGATATAGTAAAGGGAGCATTGAGCTGGACTTAGAAGTACTGAAGGTGTTCAAGGATTACAGTTGTATCATTTAGCCTCTGGATGTCAATTCTTTGCATATAAGGAAAGGGAGTTAGGAGAGATCAGATGAAAAACTCAGATACTTACAGGGCTCAGGAGAGTGATGGCATGAGAGAGGTTGGTCAGGGCTTAAGGGCTTAAGTTAGGAAGCCAGCGGATCTGTGGGGAACATGACACATAACCCACCTGGGAGCCACAACTCGGCTCTAATTGAAGGTTTTCACGTGGGAACCTGAAGACCAGTATGACTTGAAGTTCCTGTGTTTGGAGTTTTAAAAAAAGTTAATAGTTTTAGGGAAGTTTTTGTTACTATCGTTTTTGACTATTTTAATGTGAAATCTCCTGGATTTTTTTTTATTATTGAGAGTTGCCTGAAAAATAAACAATTTTTTAATACCATGCTGACCTCCCAAAACATTTCTATAGGCAAATTAGATCCCACAAACTACTAACCTTCAGCTCTGCTATATGATACTTATCTCTAAATCTTTAGATTCCATATATTTTCATTCTTCTCTTTCCCTCTTCTCTTTTTATTTCCTCCCCCCTAATATTTTTCTCTGATTTATTTATATTACATTTGCTTATTAAATTAAACAAATGAAGTTCAACAAACATTATGAAGTTCTCACTGTTAGGTCATACTGAATTATCAAAGGCAACTAAAAAACAATCTCACTATCATATATAATTTAGCAAGTATGGAGGTAAGTGGAATGGAAACCTTTGGTGTTTAGGGGTCAGGTAACATGAGTGGGATTAGGAAATAAGAGCTAGAACCCAGTGGAGATGATCTCAGTTTGGTGTGGTTTGGATCAGAACGTGCTAAAAACTATTTTAATTTCATGCATGTTGCAAGAAGAAAACTAGATTTGTATAGCCTGAAGCCTTCCAACCAACAAGAAAACAAATCTATATATATAAAACCTTAATATGCAAATAGACTGAATGGCCGAACAACCGGTCGCTATGACGTGCGCTGACCACCAGAGGGTGCGCACAGAACATGGCGTGTGTCGGCAGTGGTGGGATGGTGGAGCAGGTGAGTGTGGGGGGGGGGGGTGCCAGACGAAGATAGAGTGCTGGTCGCTGTCATTAGGGCAAGGCTCTAGTGATTCCTGAAAACTCTTTGCTCCACCATGCTGCAGTCCCACCTGGTGCTCTCACCTGCTGCCAGCACCTGGCGCCCGTGCTGTCATCAGGTGCGAGTGGAAGCTGCCAGGACTTTCCCACCTCCCCCTGCTTCTGAGGGGCAATTGGGGCAGCAGCCACTGCTCACACCCACTGAAGGCACTGGCTCCAATTGCTTCGTGTGTGGGAGCCACAGCAGAGAGGGTGGAGCTGCTGGCAGACTGAATCAGGGTCCGTGGTGGGAGTAGTGGGGAGGGGGTGCAGAGGATGGGCCAAGACCCGCCCCTGTGCCTACCGCAGTCTCATAGCCCACAGGTCCTTTCAAGGTGCACGAATTTGTATACCTACTAATGTTTATAATAGTGTATTAGTTACTACATACAGGGCTGAGGAATTTATTGATAGCACAAACACTTGAACATGTTTTATAAACTTTGGTTTTATTATAAGCATTACTATGAAAAGATTGCCTGTCTAGGAAATGATTCTAAATAGTGGTAGTTCAATAGTTAAATATCTGTGAGCCTCCTGAGGTTGTGAATATGTTACAAGAGTGTGTGGATGGTGGAGCCTTCTGTGAGAAGGCCCCACTCAACTGGCTTCCAGCTGTGTCATTGTCTATCCTGCTCTTCCCTCACTTCTCTAAACTCTCCTGCTTTATCTTGGTACAGTTCTTGAATTTTCAGAGTACTTAAATTCATGACTTGTTTCTTTGACGAGATTTTTCATGAACATGTTTTTGAATCTGAATCCTGTTGTTGTTTTTTTTTTTGTTTTGTTTTGTTTTGTTTTTAATCCAAAACTAGTTTAAAAGGTGAGGCTTATACTTTTGGTTCCAAGTGGCATTCTATTTCTTCTAGAAAGTTGTAAGGGTGTCTGTCTGGGGCGGCAGTTCTCCGCACAGGTCTCCTCACAGGTCCACAGAGCAGTGTGGGACTGACTAGATGAGATTCACCTGGAAAGGGATGGCATTAAGTTTCATCTTTCCAGGCCCCAACCCTGCCTGGGGATCGATGCTTTTTAAAAGCTCCCCAAGCCATTCCTCTGTATGATCAATTTGAGGGGGAAACACTGAGGGTTAGGTGAACTGATTTGGTGTTAATGTGCACACCAAAGGGAAGGTAAATATGCACATTACTGTGTGTACAGATAATCCATCAAGAAGTCCCGCATCTTCTCACCATGGTGTCCAGGGATTTTTCAAAGTGCATAGAACAAAGTCAGAGAGCTTTTTCTGAATGTTTCTTGACCTAAAATGAACTTAATGCCTCCTGAATCTGATAAGGCAGGTGTTTTTCTTTCTGTCAGAATCTTTTATCTCTATTACTCAAAGGTGATTTTGTCAGCAATCCTGACCTACATTGTGAAGTTCTTTGATCTTGGACCACATTTAAAGTGTCTTATTGAAAATGTTTCTTCTCTGTTCATATTATTTTACAAGCTGCATTAAACTTCAATATTGTTGGAGAATAATATTTTATATGCTTTATTTAATCTTTCCTTAAAAAAGTGTGGAATGGATACATTTTTTATAACTCTTTCAGACCTTATATTTTTTGTCAGTATCTTAATACTGTGTGTCTCTCTGCTGCCTTTAAAAATCTTTTTTTCTCTCTCCCTGGTCTAAATTGTAATGACATCTACAGCTTGCTACAGACACGATGCTTGTCACTCTTCACTAACACCCTCTGTTCAATGCTAATCTGATATTCTGAATTTTAAGCTCTGTATCTTCTATAAATCCTATCTTTTCATGCAGATAAGTAGCCAAGTCTTTCATTTGAAAAAGGGTTGTAACATCAGAATATATCAGTGAAACAGCCATTTTAGAAATAAGATACAAATTTAAATTTACCTCCAATGTCACTGGTAAACAAAAGACCTTTCTGCATAAATTTTCTTTTTTTAGTGTGTTTCTGTCTGCTTTTACACCTTATGTATCATTGGTGATGGTTCTGCTTAGTCATTGATTTAATTGTGTGTCATCTACCATATGTATGGCTCCAATCCTGGCAGACTTATGTAATGTCAGAACATGCTGAAATGATTGTCAACAAGTCTATACCATAGCAAAGACCAAAGTATTTTTAAATTATACTGAATAATTATGTATCATATAAATGAGTGATGTGTTACATAACATATGTAACTGTTCCAATTTTGGGAATAGAGTGAAGCAATTGACAGTGATTTACCCAATTTAAAGAAAACATGATCTAAATGTGCCACCTGTGTTACTTAAAAACCTTATTTATTTTGAGAGTTTTTAAGTCCTATCACTGGGTAACATTTGTGAAACATAGCTTTGGATCAACACATGACTTTCGATCTAGTTAAGTGTACAAATGAAATCATGAGAATATGATGAGTAAACCTCAGGGAAAAGAGATAACATTTGATGACATGTAAGATTTATGAGCATCCCAGTCCATTTACTTTAAGAGTTTTATGGTAGATTGGGAAAGAGTTTTTGTAAAATGTTATATCTGTCCTAAAATGTCTGTGGAAAATGTTTTCAGGGCTTTTAGTATTAAAGCAACAGAAAAAAATATATTTCTAACATATAAGTTAAGTGAACAATTCGTTTTCTTATATTGCTTAGAACTGAACTTGGTAATCTGCTATGCATTTTCTATAACTGTTATTAATAAAATTAAAGTATTTATGTATTTTTGTATTTCTTTTCTATTTAAATCCTATTAGGTAATTCAGTTAACAACTTTAAAACTGCAAATATGTAACTCTTAAGAATATTTTGTTTTTTTCTTGATAGGAAGAAGAAAAGAAGGCAGTCAGTTATCCTTCCCTTCTTAGCCACATAACTTCTTCTTTCCTGAATCATCCTGTCTTTACAATGACAGAGAAGAGCCCCGTGCCCAACCTTCAGCTGCTGGGTGAATTCTCCCCGCTACTGTCATCCCTGCCTTGTGACATTCATCTGGTTAATCTGAGGACAATACAATCAAAGGTATGTCCCAAAGGTATACAATCAAAGGTATGTCCCAAAGGTATGTAAGATTCTAATATCTTACATTAGGCATCATATTTGTAATATACCTGATATAAGGGGAAGAGAAGAAGAAAAATTACTCTTAAGTTTTACTGTGCTTCAAGAAATGATTAAGAGGGCTTCACCTTTAGGCAAAATTATTATACCTTTCATTTGGGTATTACTCTATAGTGTCAATTTCAACCAGTGTGTACCTCAAGAATTTTTAAAACATGCAATATCTAACTATTTAGTCGGGGACATAGACTTCTTAATCTTAGGTTGTCAAAAAATTGACACCAACCGACACAATAGTCATCCAGTGTGAAAAAATCAAAATTACGCCTATTTTTTTTTTTGTCAGATTGGCAAAAATATATTTTTTGCTATGCTGCAGAATTTTAGTAATTTGTTTATGTGTTCCATGAGATGAAAAGGGCTAACAATTCCTGTTCTATAGTTTGAAGCATACTGCAATACTAATTTATTCCATTCTCAGAAAAATTCTTTGTGGTGAGTAGGTCAAGGAATAACATCTTTTTCTTCTTTTTTATGGATAGGAAGCTAAAGCTGTCTTGATGTCACATAATTTGTAGGTGGAAGAACCAAGCGTTAAGATCAGCTGTCCTGGCATTTTTCCATTGATTTCTCATTGTTAGCCAGTGTTTCTGGGGAGTTAGAGAAGTAAAGAGCATAGTGTTTAATTAATTCTGTATCAGAGGCTTTTTACCTTTTGTATATTTTTCCTGAAAATCATTGCCACCCAAACCTTTGCATTGAGAAACCAACTATTTAGGAGAAATAGAGAAATGAAATGAGACATTGCATTTGAAAAGAATAAAGCTTAGACATTTGACATCACTTTTATGTTTTGTGAAGCTAGGCTGATATTGTGAATTGACATATTCTTAGCTGAAAATAGTAATGGCCTGAATATGAAAAGAAGAGAATGTTCATGTTTTAAGACAACTTAAGAGGCAGAAAATGTTTAGTTTCAGAACAAACCACTAAAACTAAATATAGTAAGGACAGTTATGGCTTTTAAAAATGTATGCTCAAGATAAAGAACTTATGCCTGACTATATAGGAAAGTACATATAGTTTGTAATAATGAATACAAGTGGATGCATGCCTCAGCCTGCCACAGGCTGTTTGATCCCTGAGTGAACTTGTAGCACATGCCTGTCAGGTGCCAGTTACTGCTAAAGGAATAAGGGATATTGTCATGATCAAAAAAGACAAAATCCTCTGCCAACTGGAATTTAGATTCTAATGGGAGAAGAAGAAAATGATGAAAGAATAAAAAATAAGAGAAACATAATATGTTAGATTGTAATAAATGTTATGGAGGGAAAAAAATCAAGGAATGGCAAGTGTAAGAAGGTGATGCAATTTTGAGTGGGGTGGTTGGAGAGAGTCTTTCAGAAATGGTGATAATGAGAAAAATAAGAGACTCAGTGCAAGTTTTGGGGGGAAAATGGTCCAGCCGGAGTTAAGGGCAAGAATGAAGGCCTGAAAGCCAAAGATGTGATCATTGGAGACTCCATGAGAACTGTGCTTTTCTTTGATCCCTTACTGTCTTCTCTTGCCTGGAATAATACCTACACATAGTAGGGGCTCAGAAACAATTTGTATTTTTGCGAATCTTGTATTTCTGCTATTCTGCTATAGTTTTTGTGGGTCTACTTTTTAACTCAGAAAGAACACACTAGAGACAGCTCACTTCCCTGAGGTAGCCAGATATTATTTCATGAACTAAAGGACCAAAATAATAGAGAGGATGGCCCTTTCTTGCCCACTCTGAGCATAGATGGTAGAGGAGCATGGCAGCCTGAAGGATCCCTGGACTTCCAGGGCTCATAGTGGCTACTTTTTCTTACTATGAGATGACCCATTCCCAAAGTCTTTTGAAAGTGGTTGTCGTTTGGAAGCAGCTCCAGCTGACTAGAGTGAGTGGATTATCCTCTACCGTTCAAAGCTGGCCCTTGTTTTCCAGATACCTCTTTTTAGTGATCACCTGCTCCTTTCATTCTTCCTGCTGCTGGCTACCTTCTTATCATACAATCTAATCATTTCCCAAATGAAAACCTCATTACCCACCAAACTGGTTCAAACCGTAAGCCTCAGACCTTCTACAGTCTGACCTCCACTCACTAGCCACCTAGCTCCCCATTGTTCTTCCTCCCTTTGGATACGTGTGCCACCTTCACTATCGGCTGGCTGAGTGACTGCTGACCCAGCTACCACTGATGAAATGAGGCTACTGTCAGATATGCCTGTTTCAGGTGTCTTGTGAGAAACAAATGAAACAATGCTGTGAAAGCCTTCGAAAACAGAAGTGCTTTGTGAACATATACAATGTTATCCTGATGATGCCTCGGGATATGCCAACACAGGTGCAAACTAGAGTTTTAGCAGAGGAATAGAAAGCAATTTAACAATGTAGATATTTAACCAGAAAAATAAAGACCAAAATATTAATGCCTACTGATAATTACTATGCTGGTATATGATCAGGGCTAAATACTTGGGGCTATTTTGCATTATCATGTTGATTCTTACCAGTTTTTATATTAACCTTTGAGTCTTAGCACAAATTTCTAATATTTGGTTAAGCTCTCTAGTAACCCAAAGGGATTGATTGGTCCATTCTCACTTCTTTAAAGACTTGTTCTCTGTCCCCTAAATTATGATAATAGGAAGATAATCATTGAAGAAAGCTGATGGTAGGAATTGGCTTAAAGAAAGCTTGGTACTTAAAATATGTCAAGGGTAAATCCATGGTTATACTAAAAGTAAAACACAAATGACTTAATTAATTCAGAAACTTGACCTATACATTTGGGATTGTGTTCCTGTTTCTGTGTGCTATCAGCCCCAAACATATAATAGTGAATTGTTCATTTGGAGATTACAGTGTATTCTTCCTACTGAAATAAAAATACAATTAACCTGTAAACAACACAGGGGTAAGGACGCTAACCTTGACCCATCCAGTGGAAAATACCCATGTAACTACATCAGCCTTCTAAATACAGATTCCCAACTGTCAGTTGATCCTTTAATAATGTGGGTGTGATTGTGCAAGTAAGTTGGATTGAGTAGCTCAGTTGAACAAAATCTGTGTATAAGTGGACCCACGCAGTTCATAGCCACATTGTTGAAGAATCAGCCTACGGGTTGGGTTCCAAGCAAGACCAGAAGTCTATATGGCTTGTATCTGAGTAAGCATTTTCTTTACCACCACCTCATAGTATTTCCATGATAAATCCATCTGAGGACCACCTTGGATCAGTAAGGGCATGTCTCTATTCCTGCCTTCTCTTCTTCATCAGAAAGGTAATAAGGACATACTTGCTTCCCCATTCCCTAGGCCACTGTCTCAAGGTTCTTTAGTTCTATGCTTCAGTTGGTTTCCTTTACTCCTCATGAAAAAAGAAGTTATGGGCTCCAGCAAGAGTCAAAGAGGTGTGCTGACCCATCGAGGTGGTTCAGTTCCTATTACCTCAGAGTCGCTGTGTTCAGATCACACTAGGGAAATTTTAGAAACAGAAACTTTTACAAATTTGCCCTATAAAATTAGGCTAGGGTAGAGATCCTAGGACTTAGTAATTCTTTAAAACTCTCAGGTTGGGAAACTAAAGGCCAGAGAGATTAAATGATTGATGGTTAAATGATTCAAATAAAACTACCTTCTCAGCCGAAACTGGTTTGGCTCAGTGGATAGAACATCGACCTGCGGACTGAAAGGTCCCAGGTTCGATTCCGGTCAAGAGCATATACCTTGGTTGTGGGCACATCCCCAATAAGGGGTGTGCGAGAGGCAGCTGATCGATGATTCTCTCTCATCGATGTTTCTAACTCTCTATCCCTTTCCCTCTGTGTAAAAAAATCAATAAAATATATTAAAAAAACAAAACAAAAAAAAACTACCTCCTTAGTAAGTGTTAGAATCCAGACACACCCCCTGTCTGAATCCAAATGCTGGATGTTGCCTTTTCCTCCAAGTTATTGGTAATGAGTTTTTGGTTTTATATAAGCCTGTCTTGCTTTTCTAAGTTATATATGTGTTCCTAGCCTGATCTAGCCACTGTCTAGGAACTTAACTGTTAGTCTTCTCATCTGGTAGGTCTTACCTCGAACTCTCTTCTCTTTGTCACCTCCTTTTCTTGCACTATTAGGAGCTTCAAATATAAAGTTTCTGCACAAGTTTGAAAACTGGGTAACAGGAGCGCCACTCAAGTACACTGAACGGGAAAGCCCTGTCATCAGGAAAGGGTCATGATTAAGGGAGAAAGAAGTTTTGGGCAAGAATATGCTGGAGGAAGGATCATCATGGGAGGAAAAATCATGGGTCAGGGTTCTGTAGGCTAGAATTACAGGTGCTGACATCCCAGGGACAAGAGATGGCTGAGCTGTTGAGCTAGGCTTCACAGGGCTAGTCTGCCATGAACAATATGTGATTCCACTGTTATTTTTCCAGATTATTCCCACTGCTTCCATGTTTAACTATATTTTATATCTCTAACTACATATACACTGTCATATGCATGTGTAATTTGCTCTCTGTGGAATTTCTTTTGATTTGTGCTTAACTGTTTCTTGCAAATAGTTAACCAGTCATTTCAACATCAACATCACCTATTAAATAAAATTTTTCTCTCCTAACTTATTTACACCACCCCTTTTTTATAAGAGGCAGTTGTAAGTTCTTACTTTATTATTTTGCCTTTCTTATAAGCATTGATTGGTGCTTTATTGATCTCCCTAGCTTCTGGAAAGGTGAAAATTGTAGGGGAAAATTCCCTTTGTTGTACATATCTAAGAACTGCCATTCACCTTCCCCTTTCTGTCATGTTATCTTGTTCATCAAAATAGGATAATTGTTATTGGACATTTTAATAAGTACCCTGGAAAATGAATTTCTAGTAGTTATTTCCTGTCTCAGGACATATAACACAGTGTACAGGTTTCTAACCTTTCCAGCTGTCAGAATGCACTGAAATATGAGTGCTGTTAGGCATTTTCAAAGTATGTGAGTAGGTTGGATAAACTTTTTCACCAGGTGTTTAGGTATCCTTTAATCTATGCATACCTTATACATCCTGTGAGGAGGGTGGGGTCACATTTCTCCTGGAGAATAGGTCAAATTTATAGGCCCTCTCATCCTCAGAAAAAAAGTATACACATGTATTTACTATGGTTTCCAGGAATTTACTGATTTGTGAACCTCACACACATATATATATATAAAAGCCTAAGCGACCAAAAGACTGGTTGACCAGTCTCTATTACACAAACTGACCACCAAGGGTCAGATGCTCAATATACAGGATTGGGCTCCCTCCTGTCTGGATGCAGAGATCAGGCTCCCTCCTGTCTGGATTGAGCCTGTGAGAATCAGGCCGCAACCAGCTATCTCACATCCCCCAAGGGGTCCTGGATTGCAAGAGGGCACAGGCCAGGCCAAGGAACCCCACAAGTGTACAAATGTGTGCACTGGCCTCTAGTTACTAATAAGCAAATTAAGTTTCTTTTGGTGTGAGCCAGGAATAGCATAACTCTCACATTTTGAGCTCTTAACCACTTCAGTAGAGGAATATTTGCCTATATTCTTATGCAAGACTATAATATGCATGTGTAATTTTCAGAATGGCTTTAAATTCTGCTTAACATAGGATGAATGGATGGGAAGACTGAAGATGGGTAGAAATTATAATTTCTGAAGTTTACTTTCTGAATTGATAAGTTTTGATAAATCATGGTTTTATTTCTGCTGGGTCTATTAATTAAATCCTCTCTGCTAGCAGCCTCAAATCAGAGGGTGATCCCCTTTAGTTTAAAGCCTTTTGTTATGTTATGTTAAAGGTGGTTCTCCCTTTCTCTCTCCTTGCTGGCATCTGTGAGCACCAATTCACAGCAAGAGTAGAGGCAGGAGACTGAAGCTGTTAGAAGCACAGACTTTGGAGTCACCATCTGGGGGACATAGAGCAAGTCATTTCATTCTCTGCTTCTCAGTTTTCTCATTCATAGTGTGGCAAGTATAGAGCCCACCTAAAGATGTTCTGAGGATTAAATGAGTTGATGTTTGTAGAGCATTTAGAACAGCAACAGGTACAAGGAAGCACCGAATGTTTACAAATGAAGGTTCTTAATTGTGATAGTTATGAGCAGTTGTGATTGTTACTAATAATAAAGTGAAAATGCTGGCATATTTTTTATAAATTAGAGAAAAGCTGAAATTTATCACCAAAGTAAATTTTGATGCTATTTTACTTGTATTCCTTGTACATTTTATTTAATAATTCCTCAGATTCTTCAAAACAACATACCTAACCTTGTCTCTATGCTAAGCATTATGCTGATTATTTACTTGAATGTTATTAGCTCTCACAGCGCTGTGAAGGTAGCAGTATTGTACCAGTATTGTACCTCATCTTATAGGGAGGAAACAGACCTGGAGATGGCAGGTAACTTTTTGAGGTCACACCATCCATCAGTAGTTGGTGGTGCGGTGAGGCATGTCTCTGCATTTCTGATTCCAGTTCCCTACCCAGAACCTTACCCGCCTCTTGCATGGGGCCAGGCAGGGAGTGACAATGCGGAGTATGTTGGGGAGTGTGCTGACTCGTTTATCTCAATAACAATGAGTATTATTCCCACCAACTGTATATGGGAAAAGATCATGAGTGTCCAATGTAGAGTCATTAGAGATAATTACTACTAAATATAGAGAGGATGCTTTGTGATTAGGGATATTCCTGTACATTTAAATCTTAATGCAAACTTGTTTACCACCTCAACTACTTCAAAGGTTGTAAGATGAAATAATCCATGAAAAGCTTTCTGCAGAGTCTGACTCAGCAGCAGTTCCTGTTGTTGTTACTATGGTTGGCCCTTGATCTTCAAAGGGACTCTTCACAAGTCTAACTGGTTCTTGGAATTTCAGAGGTTAGATGATATATGCCCACTCGTAACTGATGCATGTTAGAACCAACACTTGCCTCTGGTCCAGCTTTCTCTAAGCCTGATGGCTTCATTCTGCAAGCAGACCTCCTACCCCCAAACTCCACCCTGTTGCTGGAGAAGCTCACAAGCCCCACTTAGTCTAGGAGCCTCATGTTGATTTATCCCCTGAATAAGTTCTGTGATGGATTTTCCCCTGTGTAACTCAATCATCCAAGCCTTCCAGGATGGATTCAGCTGCAGTTGTAATCAGAACTGTTTTATGAAGACATTTAGTTTGTAGCTCACCCAACACAGTGCATGGCTCTGTTTCAAAAATTAGTGAATTTTCTTCCCCTCACTCTTCTCTTCTTTTCTGAGGTCCAGATATTACTTACATGTTAATGAATTAAATACAGGTCTTTTAAAATCTGTTTTCTCTCCTGGCGCACACATTGTGACTACATGGTATTTCTTAATGGATTAACCCACACTGTGACGCCGTGAAGGAGGAAGACATACGTGAGCTCCATTTTATTGGAGATGAGGAACTGATGTGACTACTCCAAGATTTCACATTGGCATGTGACAGAGTTCTCTTAGTTATTCTCCTGCAGCTCTTATGTTTATTATAAATGATGTGTTTTCATGCTATTTTAAGAATGTGTGAAATTTATAGAAATTTTATTAGAAATCTTTATCTTGTGATTTAAACTTTCTATATGTATTATGTGGTCTTGTAATGACTCAGAATTCCTTAAGTGACTTTTTTCTCTTCTTCAAACAAAATCTTAGCAGTACCACTGCAAAATACCAGTGTGAAATGTCATAAAACAGGTTATTCTAGCCAAGAATCTGAGGTGAGGACAGCTTTAAATTGTTCAGGCACATTAAAATCAAATCAGTGGTGGAAATGCTGGCGCTAGTTAGAAAATATATCTCTCTAGCATATTAAAAATCTTTTCCCCTAATGAGGATGATCAAAAACTTAGGCATATGTGTATATGTGGCCACAGAAGAAAAAAAGGGATCATTTTCATCACAGTGTCAGAGGTAGGCAGCACAACTCTATTTGAATCACTGCACAGTTCTTCATTTTTCAAAGGAATTTTAATTCATTTTATTTATTATCATGAATACATTTCCACTTAAGAAAACATAAAATTTATTAAGATAAGTGTAATTTAAAATATTCAAAAACCTGAACCACTTATGGCATTATTATTTAAATGGATGCAAGACATTTTACTTCAGGGATATTGCGGGTTTGGTTGCAGGCCACCACAGTAAAGTGAATATCACAATAAAGAAAATCACATGAAATTTTTGGTTTTCAGTGAATACAAAATTATGCTTATACTATACTGTAGTCTGTTAAATGTGCAGTAGCTTGTGTCTAAAAACTGTACAAAGCTGAATTAGAAAAATACTTTCCACTGAAAACTGCTAACCAATATCTGAGCCTTCAGTGAGTCATAATCTTTCTGTTGGTGGAAGGTCTTGCCCTAGAGACATCAAAGATCATAGATCACCACAAGAAAAAAGTTTGAAATATTGTGAAGATTACCAAAATGTAACAGACACGAAGTGAGCAAAGGCTGTCGAGAAAATTACATCAATAGACTTGCTCAACACAGGGTAGCCACAAACCTTCAATTTGTTAAACACGGTATCTGTGAAGCAGAGTAAAAGCAAAACCCAATAAAATGAGGTGTGCCTGTAACTGAGCCCCGTGGCTGACTTGTCATGTTTTGTATTTCTCTGTTTGCCTGCCTAGAAAGAATAGCTTCTGTAATGTGAATTTAAGTGATACAGCAACCTAATAAATGTGGCTGGCCTAGCAAGTGATAAGCATAACTAATTCAAGTGTCTCTTATATAAAAATAATGAACCAAACATTAGATTTAAAATGTTTTAATGCAATTAGTATTCAGTAATGAAGCCTGTTTCAGTTTTAAGATGGAGTTTATATCATCATTCAGTGACCAGATAATTCAGGTATACATTAAAATTTTATCAAGAACTTTATTCAGCTGATGTATACGTTAAAAATAAATAAAAGTGAGTGCTTTAAGAAAAACTGATAAAACAGTATATAATAAGTGCACAAAAGGAAACCAAAGTCTTCAAAGCCTGTGAGGAAACCAAGGCATGAGATGACTTAGTAAGGAACCAAGAACATAAAACCACCTGACTCCTTGGGGGAGGCGGACAGGCTCAGTGCACGTGGGACCTGAGGGGAATGCACTTGCCTGGCTTCACTGCTACACAAAATGAGCCTTTGTGTGTGGGGATGCTAACAAAAGGCGGTGAGTGTGCGGTGGACAGTGTTTGTTTTAATAACACGGTGGCATGTTGGCACTCTGCTCCTTTGCAGGTAGACGGCAAGCATTCCGATGAGGCGGCCTTAATCCTCCACAGGAAGGGCTTTGATTGCCGCTTCTCCATCAGAGACACTGGGCTGCTTTGTTCCACTACCCAGGGAAAGGTGAGCTCCAGGTTTTTGTTTGTCAAGTTAGTGTGCTTTTAAATCCTTACTTTCTGCAATAATCCTAACAATAAGATAATGTTTCATTGCTTCTTCATTGATTTGTTACCCTCAGCTACAAATTAGCTCAAGTCTCCACATCTTAAGAAAGCATTTTCTCAACTTTTCAGTCTCCTTGTCAATATCAAAATGCACAGTTGGAACATGTGTATATTTGAATGTTCACATTGATTCTTAGGCTCTCCATTTTTTAACTAAAAAACATCTTTAAATTACCTCACCACCATATTTTCTGCTTTCTTGGATATACCCATGCATGATCTAGCTCAGCGGTCACCAACCAGTGATCCATGGACCACTTGTGGTCCTTGAGTCTGAAAGGTTGGCGACCACTGATCTAGTTCAGAGATGGCAAACCCAAGTCCTGTGGTGGCCGACACAAGTTTTATAATAACTTAAGTGAATTTGGGGAGCAATAGGAAAGCAATAAGAAGCAAAGGGAGTGTAGCCAGTGGGAGAATTCAGCCACTGTCCCCAAGGCAACTATCCTGAGCTCTTATCAGTTGTTTCCCCTTGGAAACATGCTGGTCTAGATCTTCTGATGAATCCAGATTGGCATGCAAGTCCCCACTGGAAAGGCCAAACATCCTCAGGTTGTCCACTGCTAAATTTTTTTTATTTCTCTTCAAGTTGGTTTTGCTCCCTGTTCCATCAGGCCTCTCCCTGGAAGAAAGCAAAACTTTAGTCTTCTGCTTGTTTCTCTGAGCAGGTTGTAACTCTGAGGGATTTACAGTTGGGATAGTTCTAGAACACAGACAGGTCTGCCCCACCCAGCACCTCAGCCAAACCAGCTCTTCTCTAAAACATCACACATATACTGTAGATCTGACTCAACAGATTTGGTTTTAAACCTTACAAATTAGCATGTACGTAGTGAGAAGGAGAGATGCGATAGGGGACCTAAATCTATGCAGATGAGCTTCTTTCTCCATTTCATTTACCTCATCCTTCGTGGAGTTGGTACTAAGAAAGCACTGATAACTCTATTTCCCTTTATTATATTTTCATCTCTACCTACATTATTGTTGATAGGAGTATACTTGGTTGTGAGCATTTGTATTCTAACATTAAGGCTATGAATCTTTTTAAAAAATATATATTTTATTTTTTTTATAGAAAGGAAAGGATAGGGATAGAAAGTTAGAAACATTGATGAAAGGAAACATCGATCAGCTGCCTCCTGCACACCCCGCACTGGGGATGTGCCTGCAACCAGGGTACATACTCTTGACCGAATCAAACCTGGGGACCCTTGAGTCTTCAGGTGGACACTCCATCTACTGAGCCAAACGGTTAGGGCAAGGCTATGAGTCTTATGGGAGCTATAGGGCCCAGACATATTCATGCAACCTCTCTACCTTATAAATGGGACTCATTGGTATGAGCCCTTCTTGTGGCAGGTCTGTCTCCTGTCTCAGCTCTCTCAAAACAGGAAAAATGGTTGAGAACCATTTGTGTTAAGGTATTTTTAAAGCTTCTTGGTTCATTGATGTCCCTGATTTTTATTGAAAAGGGCCTCTCACATAATAAATTCTCAGGCTGTACAATAAAGGAGTATAGCCCAGGTTGACCTCTCCTGGTTCCCACTTTCCTGTGTTTCTCCCAGGATGGTCTTGTATGTTCAAGCCTGCCGATGTATATTTAATCTCCCTCCCTTCCTCATTATTGTACTTAAAGGGAACTTCAAACATATTGTTTTAGCTTGGCCTGGTGTGGCTCAGTGGTTGATTGACCCATCATTGGTTCAATTCCTGGTCAGGGCACATGCCTGGGTTTCAGTCTCGGTCCCTAGTGAGGGATGTGCAGGAGGCAGTCGATAAATGATTCTCATCATTGATGTTTCTCTCTATCCCTCTTCCCCTTCCTCTCACTCTGAAATAAATAAATAATAAATTTTAAAAAATAGTATGTTTTACTCAGTCTCATACTATTTTTCACTGATTATAGAGCTGTGTTGCTAATATTTCTTCAAAGTTGATCTTTACACCTTTTATTATTTATTTAAATATGCACCTTTTATCATTTACTTTTTAGATCTTGATACAGAAACTTTTTAATAAGTTTACTGTTGCAAATCTCGTACCTTCATCATTATCCTTGATGCATTCACCTTCAGACGTCCGAAATATAAGTGAGATCAACTTGAGGCCCATGGAAATCAGCACATTTCGAATCCAGTTGAGGTGAATCTGGCTTTCAAATTTGGACTGTGAAGCATTGGCTTATACATTTCTTAATTTAACGTGCAATAAGAAGCACATTATTTAAGCTTCTGGCTACTGTGAGAACATGAATTCTGTGTTTTGTTTTTAACCATTACATAAGAAAAAAAAAAAGCCATGCTACAACCAGTTTGGTTTTTGTTTTGTTTTTTATGTTTCTTTCATCAACTACTACCATCTGTATGAATTGATGCAACAAACAAAGAAATGTCTAAAGACAACCTCTCACCAGATTGTATCTCAGGTTAAATGCTAACTAATTATATCTGTGTTGGGGGTTGTGAAGAGATTGTTATGAGTCTTCATCTTGCCGTCCTTTGATAATTTTATAAAAATGCCCACTTTTATTAAAATGGAATAAGAAGCTAGTGGGTAATAGCTAATGGCCAAAATGGTTGTAAACATTCATATGCATTAGAAAATGTTCTTGTGTTGAAATATGTGGAAAAGTGCAATCCATCAACCCTTATGGTATATGTAGTTAATTTTCACACCTTTTTCTAACGTACCACTTAACCCTTCCCTGCCTATCCTTTGTAAAGTATTTCCAGAAATATCCGATTTTAAATCATTCAGTAGTAGAAAAAGAGACATATTTTCATTACTTGACAATGTGGGATAGGTGCAATTTATTACATTGTCATTAAAATAGAAGAAGCAATTCCATAGGTACCATAACCTATTTTAGGTACCACAAGGTGTCTTTTTACACAGCTCATTTGAATACAAATGTTCTGAGAAGGGGTTTTCTATTTTAAAAAGACCATATCAAAATAAATGTGCCTTATTTTTGTATAAGTCTTGTTAAATCTTTTAGTGTCCATATTACCGTTTCGGGAAGGGGGGAGGTTGGGGCAGGAGAGAGCGTGGGTACTTTCTATGCACATAAATTGTAAAATTTTTGCCTGACAATGCTGGCCACATTCTGATCTGTTTCATTAAATTTGCGGTGATATTACTCTAAACATTTTGACTATTTGAATGTACTGAAATCTCAGAAAACAAAACATGGGGAAAATATAGTTAATTAAAATATGCTGCTGCCAAGGAGACTGCAACTTGAAGCAAGATTCTGTAATGTGCAAGTCCACACCCTGTTTCCACTTCATAGGAGTTAACCACATTGAAGAGAGAATGCTTTAAAATAGACCTCATTTGGAAACCCAATTATATGTAGCTCATCATGACCTACCATATTCAAGAATATGTCTGTTCACTGAATTCCACACTTTGGTATGTGTGTGCTAACCTCCAAGTGAAGTTCTGAGCCCATGAGCTACTACAATACTTTTTATAAAATTTATTTGAGATCATTGTTAAGTTGACAAAATAAAAGCAACATTTAGACTATTCAGTTTTGAGTATGTTCATTTCTGAAAGTTCTCTTTGTGTTAACGAATAGATTATTGTCTGACCTTACACTTCCATTTACCTCCTGTTATTCCATCATCTTTTTAGAGAAATTAAAACCTAATTTCTGTTTCACCAGGTAATTAATTATAATCTGGATTTTTCATCAAGATAGAGCTCCTAAGATTATTGTTATGTTAAATTCATAGGTTTCTTTCACCTTTAATAATTAAGGAAACATACTGGTGGTGATAAAGATATTAAAAAGGAGTAGTTTTCATGCAATAAACATGTACTGTAAGTTTACTTCCTGGTTTGGGAAGGATAGACAATTAAAAAAGAATCAAAAACTTCCCTTTTGTGGACGTCTACAGACCTTAAGATTGTCAGAAGCAAGTTCCAGGAATAAGATCAATATTTTCATGGCATATTAAATGTAAAATCTTCCTATGGGAGTTCACTGGGTTCTGTGGTTAATCGATCTGGGAATTCTGATCAGTTGAAATAACGTATCTTGATGCAATAACAGTGGTTTTGCCACTTCTGGTTGTTTAAGGATGGTATGTCCCATGTCAGTTTGGTCTTATTCAGTGAGTATTGCCACTAACTGTTCACAGGTAAAGCAGAAGTTTTATTTAATGAGAAAGTTACCAGGGAAATGAAGAGGGGATGCTTTTGCTTTGGGCTGTGATCAAGAAAATTTCATCAGTGTCTCCAGCACATACTAAAAACTATACACTTCAGTTGTAATTTTGGTGGCATATTTGTGTGCCTAGATTTTATTACAGTTATAACATGTTCAGTTGACCGAGTAGTTCATTACTTTCTCCTATTTTTTTTGAAATTTTAATTTGGGACTTCAACTGCAGTGTTTGAGAACTAAACATCCTTGTTTTCTACAAATGCTGGCTAAAATAAAATGCTGTAAAGTGTGTTGTAAAACATTGTAATTACCTTCCCATGTATTTGTTGTACTTGTGCCGAAATGTTTTCACATCCTTTTGTCTGGAAGGAAATCTTTGCTTTCATTTTATGTTGCTTACCTTGGAATCAATAGGTTTTGATATTTTGGAAGATTTTATATCTTTTTGGGAACATGTAATATAAGATCTCTAATAAAAGATAAATCTTATCACGCACATGGCCCTCTAGAGTGTTCTTAAATCTTATTATGTACCCCAAATATATTGAGTGGTAGGGTGGAGTAGTGAGGGCCTTTGTGAATGAATTGCTCCTCCTTTAGCCCAGTTCTAGTTAGAAAAGATAGTTTTCAAGGGCAAGTGGCAGATGGGATGAAGGTGGGTTTCACATCTGGGTGAGGGATCACCTTTGAGATTAGAATCTAGGAACCTTTTGAACAACGTGGTGCCCATGGGTCCTAGGTCAATGAAGAGGAGCAGATTGTGATAAGATTCCACATTCTCCAGGACGAAGGTGAAGAGGAGAGTAACCCAAGACACGAAGCTGAGAAGGTCCGTGTGAGCTGATCCACAAGGTGAGGTGGGTTGGAAGACTGGGATCTGGAGGCGCTCTGCCAGCCTGCTGGCCCTGACCAGCACACAGCACACACCTAGTGGCTTTGGGGAGCTCCAGAGCCAGGAGATGGGGGAGAGTGCAGGATAAGTATTCAAGAGGTGGTATGTATGGATAAGCCAGGCAAATGATACATGACATGCTACCTAGGAACTTTCAACTTGTTTTGAGTGACAGTATAGAGATTAATCAATTTGTATATGCCAAATTGTGAAAACCTTGAAAAATATTAATATAACTTGCATAAACAAAAATTACCTTCAGCTCCATAATACTTGATTACCAATATGTCGAAATAATTTGAATATTAAAACCAGTGAAGAAAAAAATTAATATAGGTGGGCATATGTTCACATGCCTAACCTGTGATAAGAAACCAGCTATGGGGTTTGTGAGACTTATTAAAGGGGTGGCTGGGAGTGGCATGGAGGGAGATCATGCAAGGCCCTGCTGCTGCCCTAATCAGAGCACAGAAGCCTTCAGCACGCACTGGCTTACACAAGCACAAATAGGAAATTTATGGTCCCCAGCAACAAATGTTCAAGGGTAGCCAGAGAGCACTTCAGATACAGCTGTAGCCAAGTCTGAGATGATGTCATGCAGGCCCTGTCTTGCTCTCTTGGTTTTGCTTTTTCTCTGAGCTAATTCTCAGACAAAGACTGCATATTTGATGGCAGGATGGCCACCAGCAACCCATATTTGCATCCAGCCAGAATTAGTAACCTCAGTGGGAAAAGCATCTTTATCTAATTTTTCAGAAAATGTCCTGGGATTAATGTTTCTGGCTATCATCTGGCTTATAGCTAATTGACTGGCTAAGGGTAGAGTTGGGTTCGACTAAACCACATGGACAAAATGAGTGATTAATTGCCCTCCCCTCATCCACCTCCCCCAATAGAAAAGGGATTCAACAACCAAAGAAAAGGCAATTAAATACTAAGGTACTTTGGATGCTAGGCAGGCAAAATACAGTAGAAATACATTGCAGATAAAAACTAAATGCGCAGAATTAAAGAAAGCAAGCATACCCAGTTTCAGTTTCAGGAAAGGTTTTACAGAAGTGGACTTGAAATAGCTCTTAGAAGATGCATTTGATTTTCGCAGATACCGACAATATGTGTTCCCTGTAAAAAGACCAGGAAACCTTACATCCCCATAATGGCAAGGTTCTTCACACATCACTGGCCAAGATGGTAGCTGCCAACCACAGATAGCTCTTGAACATTTGAAATGTGGTTTGTGAAACTAGGGGATTATCTTATTCTAGTTTAATTAACTTTAAATAGCAACATGTGGCTGCAGTATTAGTACTGGTCTGGAGCATACACTATGTATAAGATACTAACTAGTAGGAAATACAACTAAAAATGTTAAGTTAAAATCACATTGTGTTGGAATCTTGCTAGTTGGGGTGGTCCTCATGCCAGAAGCACGGGAATTACCTGGAAACTTGTTAGGAAGGCAGAACCCCAGACAGCTGTTCATAACCTACATTTTAGCAAGATCCCCAGGATTCACTGGTCTGAAACACGTTTCAAGAGTCTTATCTCCTTATTAAACTTTCCTAAGTAACCCTGAATCCTCTGCTACCAGAAAGCATCCCCTAAAATCTGTCTACTTGTCCCTCCTCCCCCCAATTCTAAGCTTCCACCTGTACATGGCCTGCTGCCTTTGCCTCCTAACAGTTTCTCTGCCTAATTCCAGTCCTGCCCCTTTTGGTTTCTTTTTATCACATAGAATCCAGAAAGTGAAATTTAATAAGCTTCATTCCTGTTGAAAATTGTTTCCCATTACACATGAAATAATAAAATAATATACAAACATTCATCATGGCCAAAAGCCCTACATGGCCTGGTCCCTATCCCACCAACCTCAGCTTTAGGAGATGTGTGTGTGTGTGTGTGTGTGTGTGTGTGTGTGTGTGTGTGTGTGTGTGTGTTCAGAAATCCTTTCCTGACCCAAATCCATGTCATGTTAGCCCACTTACTCTCATACTGTTTTCTAGGGTTTTTATGGGTTTCTAACACACTAAGGTTTCCTCTTAAGGGCTTTGCTTTTGTTTCCTCTGCTTCCAAGATCCTG